ATTTGTGTTAGAAATCCTCCTTAGTGTTTCCAGACTGAAGGCAGCTGTGGCCACACCTGTATTCTTGGCAGTGCAGTTGGTTGGCTTGAAAAACCCCTCTCTCCAAGATTCTTGACACCCTAACAAATTCTTTTTAGCTGTACCAAAAAACACAGGATCTTCAGTTTGATGTTTAAAGATTCTCATCATCACTTTATTAGGCCTTTTTTCCAAATCTGTCCAATGTTTAAACAACAGGGGAAGCCTGCACTGAGGAGAGGGTTGAAAATAAAAATGTCACCATTGCTCTGGGTTGGAACATTACCTCTCAGTTTCTCCTGGTCTTCCTTCCTGTGATGCACATCAGTCACTTTTTCCCAGATGCAGCCCTCAGGTGGGTAAGTCATTCAATGAATGACAAGTGCATCAAGGTATTTTTCATGTAGCATCTCCAATTAAGAACTTCCCTCAGTCCCTAAAATTTGAAGCTATGACCTGTCATTTTAAAACACTGAAATATTAAAATACTATTAGTCAAGTTTTAAAGGCAGTCTTGTTGGACAATATTCCACTATTCTTTTTTGTCATGTCATCTTTCCCAGTTTGTGTCCTCAGCAATCTCATTAACATAAGCCTATTTTTTGTGCCATGGTTTTTTTTCTGCCTCTTTAAAAAAGAAATCATCCTCCAGGTCAATTCTTGAGAAAGTCTTCTGGTAAATTCACTATCTCAATAGTGTGACAATTAGCACAGCTCAAGAAAAGAACTGGTTCCCTCACAGGCAATGCATTATTTGTCTTGGACTTCCTGAGCCAAACCACCAATCTGAGCTGAGTTTCATGAACCTTTCCCTTGCAGCAATTCACTCTAACCAAGAACCCTGCCAAGAAATTTGCACATTCAGTTGGTAGCACGGAATTCTAAAAGACAAATATTGTCAAAGCTGTCTTCACTTATCCTTGACATTGAAGGGAATTAGCTTGTTCTTCACCAAAGGAGCAAGTAGTTAGAGCATATTTATCTAGAGCTTCACCTCAATTCACAATGCTCCTATTCCTGGAAAGAGAGCATACTTGTAACTCCCTTTCTTTTCTGGTTTGCTTTATAGATAATGAAAACATATCAACTGTGAAACAACATGCACTTTGAGTTTGTTGACATAGAAAGGACAAGGCTAACCTCCACTTTTGCAGTCCTGCAATTAGGATCTTTTCACTATCAAATTGTACTTGCTATTGGCAAACATCCATTGGGCATTTCAGGTATTGTTACCAACAGAGCTGAGATTTATGTCATTTTGTTGATTGGTTTCTGTATCTGATCATTAAAAAATTAGCTTACTTCATTAGAGATGCTTCAAAAAAGGTTTACTGGTTTCAAAACTTAAGCTCAGAAAGTAAAATTCTCTCTTAAAACACTCATTGGAAACTAAATCCACATTGTAAAAATAAGAATGTTTGGAAAGTATGTGTGAAGGGTTTTAAAAGAGATTTCAATACTATGATATGAATGCCAGGAGACTGTGACTTGCAATGGATTTACCATGTTTGCTTTCCCATTTCAAGCCAGAGAGGGTTTTTATACATAAAGTACAAATCTGAGCCTTTACTGGAAGAGCTGTCAAGTGAAAGGATTACACAAATCATTGTCAGGTCATCTGTGTTACAAGCACAACTTGTAACTCTGAGTCTGTCATTAAAAGCTTTTTCAACTAATCTAAGAGGTCTCCTCCCTCACTGTTCACCATTATTTCCCTGTTAAAAGCACAAAGTAAAGATTTGGGAAAACTTAAAAAGTAAGCAGAAGCTTGCATTATTAGATATTGTGGTGAAATATGTTTCTTCAGCTAGATCTCATCTAAAATTCAAATACCTTATTTCCTTCATATAGTTAGTTAATGCAGTTCATGCTAAAAAAAATACCATAAAATATTTTATTATTCATCCCAAAAGAAGGCAATAATTTCTATACTACATTCATGAGCCCACATTCCTATCAAACATTGGCAGGGCAAGAGAGCTCCTTGGCAAACATGCCAAGTACCATAGGAGCAGTTCTGCTGACCAGAACCACTGAGGCCATGTACCCTACACCTCCACACTGATCTGGCAGGGATTTACATTGAACTGCCTCTAGTCTGACCTGCAGGCTTCATTTCAAAGAAAAGCAGACGTTTCTTCCTCCCTGATTTTCCCCCTCTTCCAAATACTATAGTAAAATCAGTTTATGACAACTTGAAAATCTGCATTAGCTCTCAGGGGACTGGGAGAACCCCACAAAATAATGATTCAGGTATAAAAGCAACAGCTAAATTTCTCTGAAAGAGCTCAGACATCACAATAGAGATTTAGGTAAGGAGTGGCATTAAAGAAAACTAAAAAAGCTGTTCACAACCTCTCTGTTTAGAAACAGCAGAAGAGGAGAGATAAAGACAATATCAATATATCAGGAGATTGCTTCTATTCAATCCACTGAAACTCTGTTGTTGTATTTAGACACTGTGTTCTACTTAATGACAGTGCATGTTGCAAGAGGTGAAAAAAAGATATTTTCTGTACATTTATGCAGTCTCAATCTATTTGAGTTGTCAGGGCCTGAATCTCACACATTAAATATACCTTTTCTGAGGACAAAGTCTGTACTGCAGGCTGCATACTTTTCATTCAAAGTTGTTACTATGTACAAGTACCCTCGTGAAACATTGAGGATTTTCTCTTTGATTTCCAAGTCTGTAAATTTGTTCATATTTTCATAAACCAAACCAGAAATCTTTTAATGCATAACAACATCTAAGTGCAAAATGCCTTACAAACATATTGAGTCAGAGAATTGGACAGGAAAACAATACTGAATATAAATTTCAGATGAAGCTCTTACTGCTAGAGTTGAGTTCTGAAATTCATGGCAAAGATGCCTTTCTTTCAAAAGGGGAAAGAGTCAAGGCCCTGATTTCTAATTGTTCTGAAATATCTCCTGGCCAAAAAAAAAAAACAAAAAAGGAAAAATAAAACCGTAATATATCATCTTACTACAATACTCAGACTTTGGAAGAGACATTCTCAGAACTCTTTTCGTCAAAAACAATATTTAATTTGAAAAGTAGGATAAGTTCTCATTAAAAAGCAGGAAGAAAAAAAATCTAACAAGATATTACAAATTAGCTTAATTTTAACATTAATATTGCATTTTCAAATTCACAAAAACCAAGGTTTTCAAAGCTTTATATTACATTTATCTCAAAAAAAGAGACATTAGAAAAATTGTGATGAAAATTATATAAAGAAATAAGAGTGTATGCATTATTCAAATATGACTAGTAGACACGATTTTCCTAAATAGACTTGATTATATTAATAGCTCTTTGAATAATAGCTGTATGAATAGAGTTGCATAAAATCAGGTTTAACTGAAGTATAATTTGGCATATTAAAGGTGTCCCAAAGATGTACCTGTAATTTGCAAAATTTGTTCCTTTAAAAGTGTAAAATATTCATCGCTCATCACATGTTTTAAATTATGAGCTCAGAACTTTATGAACACCAGATTTCATTAAATCCCCTTGTTGCATCTAAAGACTACCTAACGACTCTGCAAAAATAGAAAAAAATAGAGCTGTGTTTTCCATTGTCTTGAACATGGCAGTAAGTCTGGAAGCAAAGGCACAAATTGCATCTGTCTGCCAGCTCCCTGCTGGCCCTGCACCAAATTATAAAAATAAGGAATCAGGCACTTTCAGAACAGCTGAGTTTGGGCTGAGTTACTGTTCTGGGCTGTTCCACCCATATTCACCTCCACGTGCAGCACACACTAACAAGATGTTTATAGCCCCACTCTGATCAGCACTTAGATAGAGCTGATGCCTTAGAATTAGTTTGTCTAACTAACCTGGGAGACTTTTGTAGCGACATTTAATGAAATTTTCACTGTACAAAGCATTAGTGTCATTATTGGCTAGGTTTTAAAGGCTGTATTTTATTAGTAAAACAATGTTAATTTGCTACACAAATCACTACAAAGAGAGAGAAGTATTTATCATGCTTTATAAGGCAGTGTGATTCTCATCTGACAATATATTCATGCATGGATGGAAACTGCAAATAATCTACCAAATTAGATAGTGGTACCTGTCTTATATGCTGAAAGTATTGAGTGCTTTGAGAACACTGAAAAAGTAAGATATATTGACATGCTTTATTGCAGTAAATGCTAGTAAAATTGCAATCACTATTTAAATCTTAGGCCTGAAATAAACTCCACAGAAATAGGCCACTGTGACAAGAGGCAGCTCTCTGTAGAATTTGAGCTTCAGAGATTATATTTATCTTACTATTTTATCAGTGTAATGAGACAAATTATTCCCTGAGTATAAATTGATTGAACATTAATTTCTCAAAATAAAATGACTGGCCAAAACACAAGGGGTTCTCTACTACAGGCAACATTTTGTGTATTATCCATAGTACTTTTTGTCTTTTTTAAAAGGAATTCTTCATTTTAATACATTTTATAACCAGTGGCATGTTGGTAACACTAATGTACATAAACACGTCCACAAAATTTGACATTTGAGTTTTATGATTCGAAACCAACAAGGAATTCTTGGCATTTCCTTTTTGCTTTTCACCTAGAAGTTTAAAGAACAAATTATATGCCCCACAACACTTTAACCCCTCATTACCATGAGTAAATTAGCTAAAGTAACCCTGCACAAGACAGAGAGTGTGCTCCACTGCAACAGAAGATTGTGGGCTCAGACTTGCAATTATTGAAAAAGAAGAAATGCTCAAACTCCTTTTGCAGAGTAATACATCCTTGAGGGCCCAAATGAGCAATGGGATGTACAAAATTTTACCATCTGCTTAGAGTTACTTCAATTTTATTTCCAAGTTTTACAGAAATTTGCTGAAGTGGAGTTTAGAATCCTTCCTCAAGAACCTAGTAATGAGAACAAGAACCTGTTCTCTCAATGATACTTCAAAGTGTTACAGATTCAGACAAAAAAACCACTGACATAGAACATGTAAAGTTATTGGCATAATCTTTATTTTAAAGAGATCTCTGCAATTCAGTGAAAGACATTTTCTTTACGTAGTGATTTAGAAAAAAACTTTGTAGTAATTATTACTTTATATTCTTATGCAAATATAAAAATAATAAAAAGATATGACACCTTCCCAGGCCAGAACCCACATTCTCATTCAATTTCATTTGCAATAATCTCAGATTTATAAGTAAAAAATTAGTAGTCAAGATAAACATTTATGTACAATATAATTGGAAAACCTAATATCTAAGATTAGTTTAACATATTTTTCAGGGTCTAGGCATGCACTCTCATCCAAACTACAATTCTTTGTGACTTTACAATAATATCTTTTGGGTTTGAACACCTTCAATGTCTCTCTTGTGTTGCCATGTTGAAAAAACACACAGACAAGAGGGGAATTCCATGGGATTTCAAGAAATCATTTAGCATATGCAAAGATCAATTAAGCACTTAGTGATACGCTGCAGTCTCCAGTGCATTAATATTAATGCATTATTCAAATGCATTAATATTAATCAAAATTAACATTTATTTCTTTCTATGCAGTTCCTATTGCAATATTATGGCATCTGAATAAAGCAGCAGCTTCCTGGTTTAAGCATTTCTACTCTACTTATCTCAGTAATAACCCAGACAGAGCATATTATGACTCAAATGCAAGCAAGCCTTTCTCATCCAAAGATCTTAGTTTTCATGTTTCAGAGGAAATTTTTTTTTCCCTGAATATGGGTTCTAAAGAAACAGAGTAGCTTCTTCCCAGCTTTGCCTACAGTAAAAACAATGTCCAGGCCAAACTGTGAGAAAACATAAGGCTTTAGGTTAAGACATAGGAACAGCAGAAAACCAGGGAACTGCAGCATGAAGCTAGGTAGTTTCTCAACAGCTTTATAAACCTCTCTAAGAGACAAAATAATCCCAACTCCCAGTTGCATATGTCTAACACTTTTCAGAACATTGGTATCAAAGTGTATGTACAATAAAAATTACCTAATTTTCATAAAATTCCTGTATAAATATATCACCTTGACACTCTACTCACAGTGACTTCTATATATAAATTAAATGTTTTAAATTGCAGTTGTCAGAAGTTTGGGGTTACCTTCATTTATATTAGAAACCTTCCTTTGCAAAGGAAAATCTCAGGTCAGAATACTTGTGCAAAGCACTCTGAATTCACATCAATACAATTACTACCATTCTGATGTATTTGTAAATCACTTTGTATTTTCAAAGAGGGGATGATAAACTGCACAGTTCTCATTCCAGGCGTCCTTGCTTAGCATCACCTATTGCTCCCCATACATCAAATACAAACTCATCTGGAAATGCAAAGTCTCCAAGAGTTTCATCCAAGGCCACTGCAAATTCATCTGGGTTTTTCTTGTCTCTTCCAGCTTCCACAATTGTTGCAGCTAAAAAGCAACAAAACAAAAGAATGCAATTATCATGAAAGTGACAGCTAACACACAGGGCAAAGATAGGGATGGATGGGATTTGGGATGTCTATTTTCAACAGCTGGTGAGGTCAGCTTAGGGAGATGCAAAGTCTACCAGGTGAATTTAGGATTCAAGAGGAAATTATGCACTTAAAGTTCCTGCTTATGACTCTAGAAAATGAAAAAGTTATTTCTGAAAATCTCAGCCAGGTGGGTCAAATTGTGCAGAAGGAAGAGAAAGGCTTTGCTGCTGTGCACAAGAAACTGGAGCCACCAAGGAACCTCTTGGCATCCAGGAGAATGAAAGCAGAGGAGGGATACAATGGAGTTAAACTGTGATACCTTGTATGCCAACACTGTCCAGCATTTTCTCTTATTTACCACAGAAGTATCAGAATTTATCAAGTGCCAGAGCACACTTTAGAAATGGCTACACTGGAGCTGCAGCTTAGGATTGACTCCTTAGTTGCTGTGATCATCCCTCACCTTTTGCCACTGCAGTTTCTCAGACTCTAGGAGAACATAGAAGTCTATCCCAAACACGATGCTGACAACCCATGGGTATTAGAGCAAATGAAAACATCTCTTGATCATGACACCTGCACCTCCATGAAGGGTGAAAAGAGTCAGCACAGAATTTTCTCCTGGTTAAGCTGGGCCCAGAGAACCACTGGCAGCAGGCTACCATGGTTTGAGGGCAGAATGCTCTGTGAGACACATTCAGCACAAACAGCACTGCTGAATACAGTTTATTTTCTGAGCTGTATCTCTGCTGCACAGCCTCTCTTCAAAGGAAAATGATGGTATAGTACAATAGATAAAACATCGAAGTCTGCTTCATTTTGTGATTACTTTACACCCCTGCCTTAAACTGCTTGGTGTCCTCCATCTTTTGTTAAACATCAAATACACACCACTTTCTTCACAAGCATATCAAATTCAAGTGTCAAAGTGAAGGATTTGATAGCTTCTAGCCTTTTCTTAGAGAAATGTCCAAAGTAAAACACATAATATAGTGCCTGAGGAAAGGAAGGAAGTTTTGAAGCCACAGAAAAACATCTTTACTGGGACAGTCTGCCATCTACCACCTGCACTGTATTGAATCAACATAGCAAAATCTCTCAGATAAAAATAAAAATAAACATTCCCTGCTCTGAAGTTCTACTAGATTTAATTAGTATTGTTTTGTTGACCTAAAACTCAGCTCAACTTTATTGACAGTTACGAACTTCTGGCAAACAGCACTTGCTGTGGTGCAAACATGTAACAAGCTGTAAGCAAGCGTGAGCCATATTCCACATTGTAAATGTCAACAACAGTAACTCTGAGGAAACTTGATGTTTTGGTTTTAACTGTGTTCAGCTGTGAGGCTCCACTCCCAGTGTGTCAAACAACACAAAGCTGTCCAAGGAAAATTTATGGAAATCTTGACAAGTAAACTGCTGTGATGGAGACAGTTCAAGTGTCCCCAGCTTCCTTCCCAGGCACCACTAGTGGTTCTCAAGGACCCTCAAGGCCCTGCCAGAAGAAACCCTATCCCCATTGCACTGATTCTCTCTGTGTCCCCTGTGAAGTTCCTCAGACTGTGACTCAGACAAGTCTGGATGGGAAATGAGCATTAAAAAGGGGACTCGTTCCTGGTAAGTGGAACACAAGGATTTGCTCTATAACACCACTCTATATTCCCTGACAATGGGGCACAAGAAGGTACTTACAGGGAAGCAAGCCTGGAGATAATGAAGTGAAGGGTATAACTGAAACTTCACAGATTTCTGGATATGAAGCAGGATGTAAACTTACTTTTTATAGACCCTGGGAGAAGGGTGGAGATAAAAGAGCTGTGCAAGGTGGAGTAAGAGCAAACACGTCAAGAGATGTTACAGCAGATATTTAGAAATCAAAAGAGTAAGGATCTAGACAAATGTTCAAGCAGGGTGGGAGCAGGAATGTAGCCATTTTTAAGATAAATTGGCCAAGAGTTATGGAAGAACCATATGACACAGACAGCAGCAATAAAACAAGACATCAAGGCATTATATCACAGTCCCTCTGCCCTGGCTGAAGCTTCAGAATTGCACATAACAAACTGTCATTAAGAGAAAGTGTAATTTCAAACACAACTTTCGTTAAAGACTGATCTTCCCAGATAACTAAACAGACTCTAAAAAACTGATTTATTATAGATTTACAAAACTTGAAAACAAAATCCACTAAAAACTTTGCGGATCAACTTTCCGCAAAAACTTTGCGGATCAACCCAATCAAGCAAGAATCAGAACATCGCCGCGCCAAAGCAGCATCAAAAAAACCCCCATTTTCACCTGTACTAACAGTGACCAGCCCTGCAGGGCACATTTAACGCGGTATATTTACTGAGGCACAGCGGCATTCCCAGCCCCACCTGCTGCCGGAGCCAGGCTCCCTGGCAGCCGGGGCGCTGCGGCAGCGCGGTGCTGACCTCCAGCGCCGCCCGCCCGCACTGCCGGGGCATCCCCGCACTGCCGGAGCATCCCCGCCCGCACTGCCGGAGCATCCCCGCCCGCACTGCCGGGGCATCCCCGCACTGCCGGAGCATCCCCGCACTGCCGGGGCATCCCCGCACTGCCGGGGCATCCCCGCACTGCCGGAGCATCCCCGCACTGCCGGGGCATCCCCGCACTGCCAGAGCATCCCCGCACTGCCGGGGCATCCCCGCACTGCCGAGGCATCCCCACACTGCCGGGGCATCCCCGCACTGCCGGGGCATCCCCGCACTGCCGGGGCATCCCCGCACTGCCGGGGCATCCCCGAACTGCCGGGGCATCCCCGCACTGCCGGGGCATCCCCGCCCGCACTGCCGGGGCATCCCCGCCCGCACTGCCGGGGCATCCCCGCACTGCCGGAGCACCCCCGCACTGCCGGAGCATCCCCGCACTGCCGGAGCATCCCCGCACTGCCGGAGCATCCCCGCCCGCACTGCCGGAGCATCCCCGCACTGCCGGGGCATCCCCGCACTGCCGCCGGCATCCTGCCACAGCCCCGAGCCCCCTGCGCCGCCCTCCTGCGGGCCAGCTGTCCTGCCAGCCCCTGAGCTCAGCCCCCATTCCCTGCCTGATGCCCCAGGCAGCTGCCACAGCCGCGGGACGGCGCTCCCAGGGCGGCAGAACGCGCCCGGTCGCGCAGTGACATTCGCGGAATGGATGCGGAATTCCCAGGGCAAATCAAAGCCCGCTGACTGCCAAGGCATTCAGCAGATACTTGCCAGCTTGAAGAAAACTTTGCTGGTTCTGAGAGGGTGACATCTTAGTGCCAAATTGTCTCCACTCCCCTCCCTTTTCCCCCACTGCTTCTTGTAATCATTTATTGTGCAGCTCTTACAGGAATTTTATTCCAATAGAATATTTCTCCACAGTCAAAAGAGCCACAATTGTTTTCAGATTTTCCTTTTTTCAGTTCACTTCAGGCAATGTTAGTGTCTGATTAATTTTTACATAAAATGTGAAAAGTTCAGCAATCTTAAAAGTGTTGAAAGGAATTAAAGTCTCATCAACTTTAACTGAGAAGTTAATGTCAAGCTTCCCAGAACATGCACAAAGTAATATGTTGACTTTTCAAATATAGTTCCTTTAAAATAACCTCAATGATCTTTCACAAAATCCTTATTTTCATTTTTAATGGACACATGGGGCACAAGCCATGGAAGCTAACTTCTGCCTGCCATTCTTATTATCTACCTTACATAGTGGTTTTGCTACCTATATCCTATACTGTAACTTCTGAAAAAGCTTTTTTTAGAAGTCCTGATAGGAGCCTCAAAATTTATTTAGCTGTAAACTTCTAATGCCATTAGAAGTTTTGCCTTCATCAAAAGGTAACAACTATTATTGTTCTGTCCCATCACTCTAAAGCAGAAAATAAAGCATGTTTTCAGTATTTAACATTACTTGGTTTAAGTTTCATGTTGAACATTGTCAGATCTGGTACTCAATAACTATTAGAAATATTTCTGCTTGTTCCTTTTTCTTAAGTACTAATTCTTCTTGAAGTTTATTTTGTTTAACTGGACTTGCTGCCCTTCCTTTTATCAAAAAACTCCCATTATTCTTTCAGAATAAATGAACACTGTAAACAATATACTCCTGGATGTATGCAATAAAATCCTTTGGGAAAGGAAGGAGAATACAACAGATTCAGGAAGAATATCACTTCAGTTAAAGCATTTAGAGATAAAAACATCTATTGAATATTGATGGGTTGGATTTGCGAGCCAAGAGAAAAAGCTTGGGTAACAAAAAAGGTTTAAACCTGTTAAGATATTTTGACTTGATGGTAAGATTGAAAAATTAAGTCAAAAACGGAGAAGTAGAGTCCAATTTTTTTAAACAGAAAAGACAGACTATGCAAGGATATTTCAGCCTGATCCCAGTGGTAGAAGATTATGAGACAGACTATGTTGTGTGTGATCACATAGCATGGACAGGACAAACAGGGGGTCAGGCCCAGCCAGCATGGGTTTAGGAAAGGCAGGTCCTGCCTGACCAACCAGATCTCCTTTTATGAGCAGGTGAGCCACCCACAGGATGAGGGAAAGGCTGTGGATGTGCCTACCTGGAATTCAGTAAAGCCTTGGACACTGTTCCCCACACCTTTCTCCCAGAGGAGCTGGCAGCCCATGACTGCACCAGGGGATGTTCAGCTTGGACATCAGGAAAAATTTCCTCACTGAAAGGGTGGTTAACATTGAATGGCCTGCACAGGGAAGTGGTGGAGTCACCACAGCTGGAAGTACCCAAGAAATGACTGGGTGTGACACTTAGTCCATGTTTAGTTGGCATGGTGTTGTTTAGTCTCGGTGATATTGGAGCTCTTTTCCAACCCTAATGACACTGATACATCATGCCTGATAATATTATAGAGAGCAACAGAAAGGAAACAATCATCCAAAAGCAGAAAAACAGAACAAAGGGGAACAAAATATAGGTGGATGAAGCCAAAAGGTGCTAAAAAATGTGGACAGGAAGCCCTTTTGCCATCAATTACCATCGGTAGCATTCTGGGGTTGGATCCAGGCTTCCTCCCACCCAGAATTTTTGGGATTAAATACAGTCCATAGCACTTCAAGTCTTACTGATTTAAAAAAATAAATGCCAATATTTTTAACTAGCACTGTTTTCTGAGTTGGTCCTATTAATCAACTGCTCAAATTCCTTTACCAGAAAGCATTCATAGAATTTAAAATAACCTGAATTATCTCTCAGCTGTGTATTCATGTTTTAAAGAATACTGAAGTCAAACCTTGCCTCAATTTCTAATATGCCCATAAAATGGCTGAAGAATACATTTCCAGAGCCAACTGTCCCTTCTCTGGATTACATACAGTTTTCAGTACAAAGGGGTAAGGAAGTAAAAAGGTAAAAGTGCATCCAAAAGCAGGTATGTAAATCTCAATAGCATTTAGATCTCTGAAAAGAAAAATAAAAAACTGTGCCAGAAAAAGTGCATGCATTTTCTTTAACAATTTCCAAGTATTTTGGTCCAGCCTAGGGATTTTAGTCAGCTATTCTTGAAACTGTCAAGATACTTAACAAAGCAAAAATTAAGGGCTTTATCTCACCTTTAATTGTGTCTGCAATTTAACATTAGTTTTTCCCTCCTTTCTTTCTAACTTATGTCTTAAAACTGGGGCACTGTTTCAGAATTCAATCACACCATGGAAGTGTCATTTTAATGGAGATGAAAGAGTAACATTAACTGACATCCAAAGATTCTGACAAACAGAAGTGCATGGAAGTGAGCAATGATTGAGATCTTAATCACTTGTCAGTTGCACTTTGTGATGACTTGCATTTTCAACTAATCTGGCTTGAGTAATGAGAGAAATTTCGAGCTAAGCGGTGATTGGCATTCTCTGAATGAATCTTTTCCTCATATTTCACTTTCATGGGTGACTGATCACATCCAGTATGTGAAAAACTGACATGTGTTAATTGAACAGATTTGTGACAGGTGATTAGCTCTCCTTTCCTAAAGAATCCTTGAGCTGTTTAATTGTTTTGAAATGGTGAAGTTGGGGGATTTGAGTCATCAACACTGGTTGTTGACTCTTAGATTTGAACTTCAGGATACGGCTTCAAAGGTGCAAACTAAAGCTGCATGAACCCTATAGTCTTTGATTTCTGACAGCTTCTCTTGGTTTCACTACCTTTTGGGGAGGAAAAGAAGAGGTGAGGGACAAAACAACCACCCAGCTGTGAAGAAAAGAGCCTCTCTATGAACAAAGACCTCTTCCTTCTTTGAGTATTCTTTTAAGGCTTTTTTTTTAAGTTTCCAAACTACATACTGAAAGATGAAGGGCATTAGATCTTTTGAGGGGGAAAAAAATTCCAGGAATTCATGGGAAAACTCTACCAGGTGCTTGGCTATTAACTCAACCATATGCGTTGAAAGCTGAACTTCTCAGTCTACTGTGCAAGAGCCATCCTGTTTACAGTACTGAGAGCCAAAAATACCAGTTCCCACAGGACTGTTCCCATGGACACCAGAAGCAGAGCACCCACAGCTGCTTATTCCTGTAGGGCAAGGAGCCTGGGGACCTTGGAAGTAACCTGCAAGGACAGGAGCTTCCAGAAGCCCAGCCTGAGCCAGGACTGCAACAGCTGCAGGACAAAAACAGCTCCCAGAGGGACAGCTGGCAGGGCACCCAGAGCTTTGAAGCCTGAGCCAGACTGAGGCACACACAGAGGTTGCAGAATGAGATGGGACATGGAATCCTCCCTAACCTAAACATGGCTCAGCAGCACACAGGCCTCTCCATTGCATGGCAGCAGCATCACATATTAGAGCTGCTGGGAACAGAAATGTTGAGAACTTCTAGATTCCCAGGAATTGGAAAGTTTAGATAAAACCTACAAAACAGAACTCAAGTTTTGGGCAGCTCTGCCCTCTCTTGTATGCCAGGAAGCCCAATTCTGCCTTAGACTGAAGGACAAATACTGTTTTACCTACATTTTTTCCTGTGAGAAAACTAGTGGAATCTGCCAAACAGATGCTTGCTGGTAGGAGCACCCAACAGCACCCAACACCCTTTTGGCTATTGAGATAACCACCTTTTGTTCCCACTCCTCTGTGCTAGCTGCTTCTGCTGCCCCTCCAGCCCTGATGCTTCCCCTCTGCAGCTTCATGCCAGACCTATTTTCTCTTCTGCTTTGCCTTTTCCACTTCTCTCTCATGAAAGGTTTCTTTTCAAGATCACTTTCCATTTAGCCTATTCTTTCCTTTTTCTTGGCTGGTTCTTTTAAGATATTACCATAATAATAAATACCTTCCTCTTTGTCTCAGTACCAGCAGTTCCACAAGATCCTAGGAGGATTACAGCAGCCAGAGCAGGCTACAACAGCTAGACTGCAGCTTCTTCCCACACAAATAGAAATTCCTATTTAGTTGTTGTCAGAATAACAAAGAAAAGCAACAGCTGCAAGGACAAGTTTGGTGCATCTTTAAGGAACTTATGACACTGGAGTTACATAGTTTCTTTCATTATAAATCAATGATTCTTATAACTAGTAAATATTCTGTAAGTTTTCTCATGTTCATCAGAACACAGGTTTTAGAGATTTTGATAAATTTGTGTAATTATTCTGTCAGTTGCCTTGCTAAATAGTTGCTTGTTCACTGATGAAGATCTCAGGTTCAGACCTTAGCAATCAACTTTGATGGGTCTATGCCAAGGGGCAAAAAAGCAAATAAACATTCTTATCCTTAAGAATTCTTAACCATGGCACACACAAGACCCACTAGAAAATATATGCCAGAAAGAATGCAGTGGTGACAGTTACAGCAAACAACTAAAAAATGCATGCAACAGTGTATAGCTAATGTGCAGAAAGAATAGAGGATTGATTGAGTAATTACATCATAAGGATTGAAGTGGGAGGGGGATTCTTTTATCAGAAAAACACATTTGTAGAAATACAGGCAAGTTTTTGAGACTGCAGGCTGGACAAATTTTGTTTCACTTACATCCAGAGACTAAAGTATTCAATAAATGTTAGACTACAGAAAATGAGAAATTATTTACTCTTGTAGTAATGTGTCTGCTAAAAACTCACCTAATTCAGTATCTCTTATGCCCAAGTATGTTTCAAGAAGCTCATCCACTTTTTTAATTGCTTTTTCTTCAACTTCAGTTGGCTTTGTTGGAATAAAGGGAGAGAAGAGCAAAAGTATTATTATATCCATGCAGATTTCAAAATAGCCAGCAATGTGCCAGTGATTATCCTTACTCCCATCTTGGCCCCCTAGACTTACAAAATCTACAGATAAAACACACTCTTCTCACAAACATGAGCTTTCCTCCTAATATCAAGCCACACAGCTCATACATTCAAACTGAACAGGGGCCTTATATCTCCTGACAATACAGATCTCCACCAAATCCTCATCAGCTTTAGAAGAGCCCAGAATTAATAATATTCATTCATCAAACTCCAATCCTGGTTTTGCACAAATTCATGTCAATGTATCTAATCAGCCTCTCCTAACAACAACCCTTTCACCAACCCTGTACACTTCAGAGTCAGAACAAATTCTTCACAACCATCCCATCTCTCCCCCTCCCCGTCCTCCCTTCCCTCTTTTAAGCATCCCTTGGTTTAATCTAAATTCATTCATGTAGTCCATGACATCTAAATCTGGGGTTTGTGCTTCAGGTTCTTCAGCCCCATCCTATCCCTGCTAGTCATCAACTTTAGTTGTTCTCTTCAGTCCCACAAGCTTTGTAACATTCAATTTTTCCTTCCTACTTATCAGCCTTGGGGAAGAATAAACCAGCAGCTGAGGGGCATTCCACACCATACCATTTCCTCCACAGTAGCAGGGCCTTTGGCTCTCAGGCGAAGTGTTTCTCTCCCTTTGGAGATTTTAGCCTCTGACAGAGTTCTGCCTTTGGACCTTGGCTCCAGCTTTTCTAAAGACAAAACAAATCCAACAAAAATAAAATATCAGCCAAAACTACATATACAGTACAGCAGAATATGAGGTATCTGTTTTGGTTATTACAGTATCTTCACATTTAGCCTAATTGAGATCTAGACTATGTAAAAATCTAATTACAAATTAACTATTCTAAGGATAGCTTTGCTGACAATTTCTTGTCTTCAAATTGTAAGATCTGCTCAACTGCACTGAGACTAGAACAATTGACCAATATATCTAAACAGGCCTATGGCATTCATTTGATATACGTACCTTGTGTAATTTTATTTCCCTATTCTACAGAGAAGCATTTATACCTTTAAATTAGATAGCAGCTGAAGTCACTGGCCAACTGCTGATTTATTTGGATCTTCACAGACAGAACACATAGCAGGTTTAGTACTGCAACTTTTCGTTTTTCACTGATGCAATGGTGCAAACACTGCTGCTAAGCAGGTGATGATGATGAGCCACACTGAGCTGAGTTAACAATCTGCTTATCAGCACTCACAGAGCTGGAGTGGCCATAAGCAGATCTGCAGGTTTTCCACTGGTTTCACCAAAATCATTTCACAGCTGATAAATCTCTACGAAGAGTATCTGGTTTACACTAAGTGTCCTTTACCTGAATTCAGCCTTTCTTGTTTCATCCTGGGTAAGGGCAGGCCAGTGAGTAGATGGAGCACAGAATCATTTAAGATTTGGGTTTCTTGTTTCGGGATGCAATTTTATATTCAAGAGTGGCAAGGATTTAATTTACGTACTGACATGGGAATTACACAGTGAATCTGGAAAGTGCTAGAAGAGAGGAGACAATTCTGCAGAACTGCTTTTATTTGTCCTGTTTTGTCTAACAGATTATTCCTCCTCTTAATAGCAGGACTTTCTAATAAGCTCTTATTGAAGGGAATACTTTAACGTGTTATATTAATTTTGCTCAGATAGATTTCAGCTCATCATTCTAGCAAAAGTGGTCACAAATCTAGATTATTATGCTGAACAGTATGCTTGAAAAGTAAATTTTATTAGCTTTCATGATACAAATAGGTATGTCAAAGTCTCATATATATCCTTAGGATCAACACTTTTTCTTTATCCTTTTATTGCTTCAAGGACAGTTTAAAACATCCTTTAGATTGTCATCATTTCTGCTAGACTTGTTTCAAAAAGTCATTCCTGATAAAAAACACCATATTTTTCAAATTCTGTCACCATTATCACCTTAGAACTCATGATTTGAGATAACCTTCATTTGCAGTACTTTAGACCAAAACACTCTGGCTATCACTAAACTATTTTTCATGTTCACATAATTAAAATGCAGAGTTTGTGTTATGCTGCCTTTACTTTGTTTCTGTTCATTTTTCACAATTCACAGACGCTTGTGACTGGTACAAATCTTTTATTCTGTGCTACAAGCCTTGCCTAGGGGAGCTGAGACAGCCTGTGTGTATATGGTAGAAGGATGTCCAACCAGTAAATTATGCTTATTTCACATTTCACTGAGAGGAAGTAAAATAAAAATAATTTCACACAGAGGTTTGTCTCTTATTTCTGTACCCTCACCATATGCTGTTGAAATTAACAGGAATTCAGCACCTACTTGTTGAACAGGATCTGGATCTTGTCTGTCATCTCCTCTGGGGCTATTCTTAGTGCTTAAGCTGCAGCTTAAGCATTATCTTTGTGCCTGAAGCCTAACTGTACCAAAGGCTAAAGGCAGGATGTTTTAACCTACTGAGCACTGCAACTTGCAAGTTAATTTCTGTAGGGTAAAAAATAATGTGCATATTCCAAAAATCTGCCCACAAAGCTCTGGTGCCTCTTAAATCAATGGCAGAAAAAAGGTATTGCCATGAAATTAGTGCATTTTCTCCTCTACATCACAGGCAGACTAAAAGGTATCTTAGTCACCTGACTAAAGTAAAAACTACTAAATTATGGCTGAAGTCATCCATCAAATGCTGATTTACCCTGCTCTTTACAAACAGACTGTGTAACACTTCTAGCACTGAACACAGATTACAGGCCCATATTAAAAAGAGGTATTGCTGCATTACTAATTGTGATGGACAACATATGCAATTCTTTAGCATAATGTATAACATACACATTTACTTAACAGCAGTACCAACTTACATGCAAACACATTAGAGATCAACTCATAACTCCCTTTCTTCACAGAAGCACCAAAAGCAAAAAAAACCAATCTTTGCATTTCTCTCATTTTCAATTTCTGCTACTATTCTGACACCAAGTGTCAAGACTGGTGTATGACAGTAGCTGTAAACTACTAACACATAAAAAAAATTTGAAAAACAAACATTAAAAAATTTTGCTACTGTAGTGAAGACAGTGATATTGAATTGACTGTTACTGCAGGTGTGCAGAAGGCCTCATACAGATTTGTGATTTAGCATTATTTTGAAGTTTTTATTACAGGAAAATGTTACATGGTTTGGGGAGAGGATCCAAAAATTGAGATAATAGAATTTGTAACTCGGTCTCTATTTTGACTGTCTGAGCAAAACTTCCCTTTTTTTTTGTTTGTTTTCTACATTGATAAGAGTTTATATATACAAGAATTAACAGTAGGCATGTATTCCTCCTATTTAAGCAGCACTTCTCATAGCATGCAGGTGGCAAGCAAAGACAGAGCTTTGCAATTCTGCTTTCTTGCAATTCTGAGTACACCTGCTGCATGACTGGAGATCCACAAAAGGCTGGGGAGGGGGAGAGGGAGAACAGGCAGGCAGCAAAGGAGGTGCTCTGGGGAACCCCAGACAGTGCCTGCTGCAGACTCCTTCTGCATTAGAGAGCACAGACCCCAGTAAAGGGTACAGAAATAGAAAAGTCTGACACACAGAACAACAGGGGTTATGTATCAACAGAGGAAAAAAGGAGTTTTGAGGATCAGGACATTAATGAAGTGATCCATGCTTTAAAACTGTACCTATGAAACAATTCCTGTTCTAATTTTGCAACATCACGTAGTGGCAAAAGAGACTGACTAAGGCTCAGGTGAGGTAACCCACACTAGGATGACTGCTGGAGAAAGCAAGATGGAAGACAATCCATTCATAAATCTTCCACTTCAAAGAAAAAAACTAAATGTACCTTCTTGTAGTGGTTATGTTACCACAGGTGGACACCTGGCTGCTTTCTGAAAACACACCCACAATGTAATGCAAGGATGGGTGGGATTTTACTATCAAAGTGTTTTACTGAACAAGGTGGACAGTCAGGTCACTCACCAAATGCTTTCAAAGGCTCTACCAGCTCCAGCTTAAACTTCTGACCTTTCTCCAGATCTTTTAGCATTTTGGCAACTTCATAATGCCGACACTCTGACACATTTTTCCCATTTATGGTCTCTATGTGATCACCCACGCAGACAGTTTTGGTTTGGTCCATAATGCTGCCTTCTTTGATTCGCTATTTTGAAAAAAAAAAAACAAACACCACCAGAATTAGAAACATTTCTTTAAAAGGTGATTGTTTTTAAGAGGTGACACCACCAAGTTTCAAGAATGTCAGTTAACAATATCAATATTACTGAGCTTATTATTCCAGCAGTGTGTTTTGTCTATAAGATTATCATAAAACACATTTTGAAAAGCATTATTTTTCAAACAAAGTGTTTTAATAAGCATTGAATATACAATCAGGGAAAAAAAGAATGCAACCACACTTTAGAAATAAGGAATTCTGAATAACCTACTATTTTTGTGCTTTAAAACTGTTTACAGACATCTCAGTACTGTGAATGGTTATTCAAGTTTTTGGGGGTTTCCTATTTAATAGCTTGACAAGCATAGGAACCAAATTTTTCTCTTCTCAAGTTTAGTCCAGGGACTTAGTAAAAAATTACATACTGTAAAGGGCTGATCTTAATAAGACCCATCCTAAGTGCTGAAACTACTGTTCTCTTCATTAAGAACAGTAGTTTTCTTAATGAAACTACTCACAGTAGTATAAATACTGTGAGCTGTATATTAAAGGATATCCTCTGAAATAATAAATAAAATTACTTTAACTGCCATCTCATGGAAAATACAAATAGTCTAAAGGTCATAACAGAAGTTACAGCTTTTATGAAGTGTAAAAAGTATGGGGAAAAGTATGGGGAAAAACCTTTAAAATATCTCTGATTTACCACACTTTAAATTTCAGTGATTCTGTTTCTTGTTGTTACATGCAGCCATATTGGTTCATCGTGTGCATACATCCCTTAAGCCATTATTATATAGTATTGAATAGACAAGCCATGACATAGTAAAATACCTTCTATTTTGCAGATACAAATTTCATTCTAACACGTTCCTGCATAACAATCTTTTCAACAAGGACTGCCGTGGTTCAGCTGACTGTGTGTGAGATCACAGTGAGCCAAGGCAGATGAACACCTGCCCCCTCCCACTGGAGCAGCCAGCCTGGCTGCGAGCTCCGGGAGCTGCTCCTGGCCCACACATGAGCCTCCATCCGAGAGGCAGTGGGAAGTGTGAGAGTGCTCACTGCCATACACTGCACTGCCATCGTTTTAAGCTTCAGGCTGAGTTTAACTCTTTCTGGCCCTAAACAGAAGCCTGGTGGTGAATGTGGATGTGGGTATCGTACACACCAAAAACCAAATGTGCCCAAAGAGTTCCTGTTACCAGGACTCAAAAGCTGTCCCACACAGCTTCAATCAATGTTTAGTCTATGTCAAATATTCATTTAGCTTTTCTTCTTAGCACTTGGATCCACACACTAAAACTGTTGAAATAATATTCACTGGCTGTTATTTGTGTCACTTTTTATCATCACTCCAAGTTAACTGACTGAGACAGTCAAGCTACACTGTTACAGTAATTAAGATGCAATTGCCTGTATTTCAAGTGCTCTACAGTCCATTGAGAAGCTATGAGGATCTATATTTCCTATGAAATGCCTACTCCATTTGATAATGTCTCCTTGTACACCACTCAGTCATACTTCAAGTTCTACTGCTGTTCTTTGAATGCTAATTTGACTCCATAATACCTTTTCCCACCTGCCTGTGTACTCCAAAACCAAATTTGTGAAAGCAGAACGACCCCAGGTTTTGTTCTTAGTAAGGCAAAACAAGATTAAATTTCACAGGAAAAAGCCCTGCAGTTCAGTTCAGGTTTAAAATTGGTTGGGTTACCACATCAAACCTAGAAACTTCCGTGTTATTCAAAATGCAGTAAAATAACTACAACCCATAGCAACCTTCAACAACCGCCAATCAGTAAATTCAGTATTAATTTTTAATTAAGAATGGGACACACAGCCACAATTTTTTATGTATATAAGCAAAAAAAAAAATCAATAAAACTTTAGAGACAGTCTCTGCTTAGTCATTTACCTAGACAACGAAGTAATAAAAAAGATGCAGCCTTTACTTTTGTATATATGTGTATATACATAAATCATGAATTTCTATGCTGATTTAAAAGATCCATTAGCTAAATCTGCAACAACAACAAACAAAGTATGCTCCTAGAAACTCCTTAAAACTTCACCTTCATTCCCATGAAGACCGCATCATTTTCATTACAATGCTTGTTATTAGACCAGCACAAGGAAAAATAATATATATTTGCTCAGAGGACTTTTACACAATTTACTGGAAGTTACAGCTTGTCTGGCTAATGTTGTGAGGGTTTTCCAGTGTGCTCCAATTGTGCAGTAGTCTATGTGAGGGCTGTTCTCTCTGCCTGTTACCAAGCAAGCACAAAGGGAGTGTCACTGCACAGGGCTGCACTCGTGAACGCTGCTCACTGAAGCATTGCTTCAATGCCTTCTTTTAAAATGCCACATAAGCAGCAGCATGACTGAATGTTATGGGCTGTATAGATGCCACCACTAGAAATTCACAGTTCTTTATAAACATAAAAGGTAGGATATGATTTTGCCAAAATGCTTAGTGAAACCTTTATTGCATCTTGACTTTCATAAACATGACCTCAGTCCCATTTTTCCACACCAAAGACAAGCAAACTGATTTCTAAACCATGTCTTGTTTTATAGCCATGGTAGCTAAGGAATGAACAGAAAATACAACCTCTCCATACAAAAGCTCTGTTTACAGTGAGAACAACGATTGGGGCAGCAGTAATCAAAGATAATTGTTAATGCCTCACTAATAATGGGTAACTGGAGTATATAAGAGCAAAGAATCTCAAAAAGGCAGAAAATATGATTAAGGTTCCTAATACCTAGTCTAGCAAGAAGGGCAGCATCATTTCATAAGCCTCTTCTTGTCTCAAAACATACTGCCTCTAGGTCACATAGAAGAGGAGAAGGAAAGCAATTATGATTAATATACTGAGTATGTTACTGCCCATACTTGCTACTCAAGCTCATTGTGGTAAATTGTGGTAATCCACATCCTTGTAATTCACCCTGTCTAAGGCAACAATACAGGAAAGCTGAAAAACCACTGTACTTGCCCCTACTCTTGTGCAGCACAAAGGCTTCTGCCCTAGGAACAGCCAAAGACTGAAAGAACATGATCTCATTATCACATGAGCGACAGAAGTTCTATAAGCATCTAATAAATGACATCAGAAAATCAGTTTAAAACAGGAGGGGGCAGATGCAAGCAGTATCTAACACCTACCACCTCAGGGTAGCTCAGGAGATACAATGGTCTCATTGTAAAACTGATACACGTTACAGAAGCAATGAACAAATGAACTGATTTTGAATGACATGCAGTACAGATTAGCTGAACTAATTTTGAATTATGTACCTAAAGAAAAGCAACTTTATTCTTTACTTACCATATATATGATAATAAAAGATTTTATAGTTCTAAAGGATCATGAAACCAATAATTAACCAATTATAGTAACAGGAGCTTCTATAGAACAAAGTATTTCACTGGTAATTAAGTTTACCTTTATAAAGGCACAGCCAGTTCCATTGTCTGTAATGGTAAGTCCCAGCATATCATCAGTTTTAAGAATTTCCACTTCTTTTCGCTGTCCTTTCACATGGGCAAATATGAAATCTTCAAGGCCAATTTGTGCACCTAAGAGCTTGTCCATATCAACTTTATGAGTGTTCAAAGTGCAAAACATGATCTGTGCAGAGGGAAAGCAAACACATTAACAGTGCATTAGGCTTGGTGAGCTTGATAGGAAGCATGAGAGCTTATAAAACGAGAGCACAGTTCAGGCCCTGTGACAGGTCCAGAGCTTAAGTGATCCCCCTTCTTCTCCAGCTATACCAGGAGAAGGAATAGTCTCCATCCACACACAACAGAAAGCATCAGTAGCTCAAAGTGCAGGGCAGGAAACACAGGAAAGAGACCTCGCTGTGTGAGCAGCCTCTCCAGGCCTATCTCAGCACACCAGCCCTGAGAGAGGCATCTTGAGCTGGTACAGCTTGCACCAGGCCAGAGTAAGCAAACTGAAGAGCCATCACCCACCTCAAATTCCACCTGATCCAAAGATCACTAGGGACTACTTTAAAACTTGATTAGATGAAAGCAGTTTAATGGGAAGAAAAAAAAAAAAAGAGAGCTTATCAAAACAAGAGTCATGAGAGAGCATGAAATGCTTTGTATTGCCCCATGTGTTCCCTCATTAGCTCAGAGCACATTGTCTCCCATGGGCTTCCTTAGTTCCTACTCTTCCCCAGCATGAGCTGGGGTCATCCCTGTTCCAGTAAAAGAAGGGCTTAACAAAAAGGTCAAATTGCTTCCTTATAAATCAGCTTTTCTGAGGGATTTCCCTTCAGCACTGGATATCAGGCAGTCCTTTTTCTCCCTACACTCATGCCAGCTCTTCAGCAGGGAGGTTTCTTGTCCTGGCCAGAGGCAGGGTGAGAGCAATCCATCTGTAGTGCCTGGGAACAGAGATGCTTCTGCCCACCAGGAGCTGCTGAAGGAACCTGGCCAAGCCCAGCACACCCCTCCCAGCCACAGTAATGAGAGGTGCCCAAGCCTTTGCAAGCTGCAGCAGGAGAGGAGTGAGGGCCAAGGGAAGCACGGAGAGCACAGGGCAGCAGCCAAACCAGAGACTCTGTGCTCCAAGAGAAACTTGGGGAATCCCTAAAATCTACTTCACTGAGGCAAACACATGGGGTTTCCACACCAGAACACTACACATGCCCTTTTCTTTCCTGCCCTTTTCCTTTCTCATCACTGGATGAGAGCAGAAAAATTGAAATGAAAGTCACCAACCTGTTTACACTGATTCCAAGTCAAATGAAGAGTGGATACTTTTACTAATGTATTTCACAGAGAGCATTCAAGTTTCTGGAGCTTTTTAGGACTTAGATTCTGTAACTATGGGGGTTTTAATCTTAAAAGACTGAAAGTTAATGGAGAGATTGTATTTCTTGATAGAGGTCTTGTTTAGTTGCTGTTTTAAAAACAAAACAAACAAACCCCCCCACCAAACAGCCTTACTTCAATGGCTACTTACTTATCTCATTTAATCCATCAAACACCCACTGCAATCTAACACCTTATTTAACAATGAAAGTTGTAACAGCACACCCTTAACAGACATTAGTTTTATTTGCTCGGGTAATACAAAGGTTTTTAGTTAAACAATACTCCAGAAACAACACCTAGAGAAATTAATCTGGTTTTAAGTAAAAAATTGACTATAATAATAATGATAATAATAATCTCTAATGACAAGCTCTTTTTTAAAATAAAAAAATTAAAACCAGATGATATCAAGTTCACACACACATTTTCAGCTCTCTCAAGCTACATAACTTTGCCAGTTTAAAATGGTAACTCAGTTCTCTGTTCATTGTTCCTGTGATGAATAACAAGCACTGTCTTTACATTTTAGACATTAGCATCCTTCATCTGACCTTGTCAAACAGACAATCTAGTAAATACTGTCACACCTTTGAATAGATAAAATTGGCAACAGAGCAGAAATGTGATATTTAGAAACTTGATCCAGAGTTTCTCTTTATAGATCTTCATCTGGATGGCATTCCTACTACAGCCTATAAGTCTGCAGAATTTTTTGTGAGTCAGTTCTGTGTTAGCCACAAGGCTGAGAGAGCATCAGCTAGTCAAAAATAAAAACTTAAATCATTCTTCATCCTCTTTAGTGAACAACTGCTTTTTCTCAGAAGAGATATATGCAAAGAGTAATGTACTAAAGATGTGTCTACCCAGAAAGATATACCACTACACCATCTACCAGTTATAGCATAGCTTTATTTGTACACAACTGAGACCTATTGATTCAAAAATGGCATTTTTTCATAGATTTTACATAAGTTTAATATTGGTACCTAACGCCAGATTATATACTTGAATACTTAAACAACAGGTTTCCACTCACTCAAACTTTTGCATATTTTTAATAGTAATTTTCTTATTCAAAAATGAAACAAGAAAAAAATTCAATGTGCAATTCTCATGGTTAAGACTTTTCTGTCCTTACCCTAAACCTTCATAGGCATTTGGTCTCTAACTCACTATACCAATTCTGTGAATATTTCTTGCCAACTTTAGCAAGATATTATAAATCAGAACTGTTACATCAGTCACAAAGTATCTAGGATACCTCCTTCACCAAGATTTATCATCTTCTGCAGCACTCAGAGGAAGGAAATTCCATGTTGCTGGACATTAGGGGCTTATGCAGAGCTTTATAAAATAGATTTGTCCAATAAGATTACTAACAGATCATTCCCTGCACCCATATTTTCAATTGGAAGAGAACAGATTAGCCAACAAAACCAGGGCTATATAAAGAAATATAAACATGTGTTATGTAAAGAAATGGTATTAGCTAAGAAAAAGAGGGTTACATGATGTGTTATATAAAGTATGTATGCAGTACCATATTGCATGCTCTATACATTAATTGTACTCTCATCTTCCATATTGAGCTGACACCTTGAGAAGAACTCAAAAATGAGTTGGTTGATAGATTACATACTCAGAAGCTATTGAAAATGTATTAAAAATCTCAGATAACTTTACAGAGATCGTAATAACTTTCTGTTTAAGAGGTAGGGAACTGAGAATTTTAATTCTGATCAAGATGTAACACCCACTGACATATTTCCCTATATATGTAGATGTCATCATATCAAGAAATCACCAACGCATTTTCTCTGTATTACTCACTTTATCTTCCCCAAGGAAAATGTGAGAGCCTTGACCAGCTTCAGCAACAGGAAGAGAGTAACCAGCTCCTCCAAGTTCTAGTGTGCTTTTGGTATTGTCAGATATTCAGCCTGCTCAATACATTTAAAGGCTTATAAAATAAGCATTCAGTGTTTTGCTGTTTGTTTTAGATTTGGTTGGGGTTTTGTTTTCTTTCGGTTTTTGGTCTTTTTATACACAAGTATTACAGTGTAATACAGTGTACACAAGTAATTACAGTGTAAATTTTTCCATCCAATTATTTCCATACTAATATTTCAAATACTTTCACAAGCATCACATGCAATATGGGTGTGACATTTAAGCATTGCTTAGGGAAACAGCAAGCAAACAATTCTTGCCATAGGGTTGGGAGGAGGTGTTTTGTAGGGAGTGTTAAGTTTGCTCATTTAAAGTACTCAATCTGTAGGCGTGATTGTGAGCAATTCCTTTCAACAGATAAGCTTAACAATAAAACTTTCAACATTTTGGTGATGAGGATTTCACAAGCTAACCCTTTTCTCTAAAACACACTTCAGAATTTTCATTATTAAAAGGGCAGTTTTGTTCAGAAAGACAAGTTTCAGCAGTGGCTTATTTGTCAGCAGTCTTTCATAAAAGTTTAAACTGAACAGGTTTAAATCAAATAGTTCTATGAAAGTTTAATGTGGCACAGCCTCACTGAATACTTGACTGTTGAGCATGAGGAGGCAAGGCCTGTGCAACTACAGCCCACACAAAGCTCAGCAGCTGAACTCCTGCTACTGGAAGAGAAAGAGGGAGCTGCATTTCTGTCCTTACTGCTGCCAGCAAGGTCTCTCCTCTCCTCAATTACCCTTGCAAAATTCCTTCCACTGTGAAAGAAACCCCAACCTCCAAGGGCTCTGCACAGACACAGCCATCGAGCATCAATTTAGTTCACCAGCCCCACCACATTTCACCTTTCAAAGCAAACAAAATAATCAAAAGGCAAATTGCAAGTAGGCAAACTAGAAGTCCTCACAGTTTCTATGGGTTCCCTTCTCGTCTGATCAAGAAATAGCCCTGCTACAGCTGGACTTTAATATCCACGTTCTCAGTGCCTGATTAGCCACTCTGAATACTTTAAAGCCCTACCATGTGCTCTCACAGGAGCACACCACCACCAAATGCCTTAACAGACCCACATTGTCCTTCAGCCAGTGCTCATTTATTTATCATACAGGCTGCACTCAGCACTTTCACCCTCATGGGGAACATTCCCTGCTACATTCCCAATAGTCAGAGTGGAGTAGTAATCCTAAAAGGCCAAAGCTACACATAAATACTTTTTCCAACTATTTTTCCTACTTCAACCTCCATAGAAAAAATAAGTGAAGATATTTCTATTATTTATGCAAACAGAAACATACACGTAACTGTGTGTGGGTTGTGTTTTTAGTTGAGTTGCATCTATCTATCTTTTTTTTAGCTCTGTGCTTTCTTGTTGAAAGCTTGTTGAAGTAATCAAGTTAAATGTGATGTACCTCAAACAACACTCATAATAATGATGCTGGAAATTATAAAACTTACTTTTTTAATGTAACTTTAGTAAGGGGTTGTTCTCCTTTGCACAGGGGGAGGAGAATTGAAGTTTCTCTTTACAAGACTCTTCACCAGGGTTTAAAATTTAATTTTAACATTCACAGATTGGGAGTAGCCAGAAGGTACACAAGAGATAAGAGATTATCAACCATTACCCCCAACATCAACCCCTGGTGAGGCCTGAGATACCTGGTCTAGGAAAAGACTGATGAGAGAACTGAAGTATGAGGACCAACTTAGCATTGAAGGCAAAGGGATCAATAACCAAACTAATTTAAGACCAGTGAACAAGAATTTCTTTGGTTTTTGTCTGTATTTTTTTTCCTGCAGTTTTGGTGTCAATGACACTGGCAATGTATTGCTAGAAGCCATATTCACTCCTCTTCCCTGGTGAAAGAACCATCACCTTGGACAGAGAAAAGCAGAAATGCTGGATGTGGTAAAAGTCAGAGAGGTAGGCAGAAAGGGAGGCTTCTGCCTGCCCCTCAGCTCAAAAGGGGTAAGAGATATATAAAATACCTAGAAGAAAGGATGAGTACAGGAAAAGCCTCAGAAAGCAGCTGTTATGTCTCACTCCTTCATGGATAGCCAGCAAACATACATCCCCTTTGAAGCTGTACCCATCCTGTCCCCATCCTCCCCTGCTCATGATCCAGGTCTGCACAGAAGTTTCTGTCGGTGTCTGTCCAACAAATACTGTGTTTTATATAAGCTTCTGTCACCGTTGACAGTCAATCACAGAACCTGGAATGGATTCTCCAGCAGAAACTGAACTCAGCTGGTCCCGGGAGGTGTGATCCAAAGAGGAAAAGAAGTGCTTTAAGCATGTGGAGTCAAAAGGAAGAGTGACAGATTACAAGTACAGCTCATTCAGAATGGTATTAAAACACTTAGGCAGGAATTTATCCAAGAATCCATACTGCTGCCTGCCCTGCAGTAACCTCACATACCATACTAAATGTATTCACTTCTGCAAAAGGCATCTGAATGCTCTCAGCACAGGGCTGAGCTCTGCCCCTCCACTCCCCCCCAGTATTTTCCAGCCCAGCCACTGCAGGGTGGAGATCCCTGTGATAGGAGCTGTTTCCAAAGGCTGTCACGTGTGGGTATCACACTGCCTGCAGGCTTCAGCAGAGCTGGGTCACTGAAACTTTCCTAGACAGGTAACACCTACAAATGGCATTTGAGTACCTGAGCATCCTGCAGTCTGCTGAGATGTAGCTTCTGGCATTATTCTTTCCTATCTAGTTACTACACTATCTGTCCAAAAGCAGTTTTAATGAATAGATAATACAATTTAAAATAAATTCTAATAAATTCACATTTCTTGGCTGTTCACTGATCTATCCTGTCTCTATGCAAAAATCTGTTGCATGACTCTCTGGCCTGAATTCTTCACTCTGTTATGCCACCTTTACACCAGGAAATATTTTTGTTCACTGTTTTCACATCATACAACCTTCTTAAAGCCAACTGAATTTCTGGAGTGGAAGATTTTAAGTTCAGTGCCTCCAGCAATAATTCTCCATCCATTTTTAGCAATAAGCCACATTAAAAAAAAATTAAAAGGATGGAACACTAGGGAGAAAAAGGAAATAAGAAACTTCTCCAGTCTGGCACATGGCTGGCAATATATGCCTATGATATGTCGTGCTTCCTCTAAAACCTCTGAGGGTGTAAGATTATACATCTAGCAGGAGAAACAGGAGCACACCATTCATACCAAATTAAATTTCACTGTGAAAGCTGTTCTTTCTCAAGTCAGTGGAGCCAAAAGTTCAACAGTGAAAGGAAGAAAACTAAAATAGAAGACAATCTGGTGATTATGAGAACTTGAGAATACAAGGTATAACTGAGATGGAACAGAACAAAAGGGAAACAGCAGCTCAGGATGAAAAGAAAACAAAGGAGCAGAAAGTCAGAAAGCAGCTGGGAAGGTCTGGGACACTAATGCATTGCTTCTTAATTACTTAATGCAACAGTGACTGATTCAACTGTATTCACTGCTACTGCCACTTTCCCTTTACAATTTACTATTTGAAATGCTACGTCAGGCCACAGCAAACTCAGAACAAAGCCTGTAGTAGTAGTCTTTACAACTTTTTCAAAACTCATCTACAAAGAAGAAAACAAGTAAAGCTGTACAGCCACACGTAGGCATAATGAAATGTTAGCCCTCTGTTTCAACTTGCCACTCGGAGGTTAAGGTTCAAAGAACCACATAGGAAGAACTTGATATGGCCACTACCTTTTAACTAAGAGAAAACAATGCATTTACAAACACAAATGAATCATTATCCAAACAAATGTTTAGAACATGGCTCAGAAAAAAAAGATCAAAAAGGCAGCAGAGCTTAAAAAGGAATCCTGTTACAGACTTAAATTTAACTCCATTGGAACAGTGAACACTTTAAAAATAATTACCTGATAAAGCAGAAAACTTTCCAAACATCACTTTCGGCCGAAATTTTAAAATGCAGTACGATTCAGGGCATTTATACCACACGCCCTCCCCTTCCAATGCCTTCATTCTGGGTATTTAGCCTCATAAATCCGTTGTCCCTTTTTTAGCCAGAATGAAGCAGTGCCTAAGAGCTGTCTCAAACAGCAGCTGGCAACAGGTTAACCGAGACCCTGGAGTTTTGGTCAAGAGGACCATTGTTTTTACCGTGGAAGAGTTAAACGCAGCCACATTTATGCCATTTCCCGCACGGTAACGCGGATTTGGAATAGCCAAGGGAGATTTTTCTCCCAAGCACTGTAAAGCAGTCCCGTCCACACGAGCCCGTGCAGAGGCCGGGGCAGGGCGGTGGAACAGCCCCGGCGCCCGCTGGCGCCCCCGGAGGCCCGGCGGTCCGGGGCCGCGGCGGTGCCGGCCCTACCTGGGCGGGGTGGATGCCGAAGGCCGCTGCGATGCGGGCGTACAGCTCGCGGGCGCTGCCGAAGCCCTCCACGCGGCCCGTGGGGCTGCCGTGCGCCAGCTGCGTGTGGAACTGCAGCCGCGCCGCGCTGGCCGACGGCGCCGGGGCCGCCGCGGGGGCCGGGGCCGCCGCCTCGCTCTCCACCAGCTTGAAGGTCTCCTTGGACTTGTCCTTCTTCTTGTGTCTCAGCCCCAGCGGCATCTTCCGCGCCGGCCCCGGGCTCCTGCGGCCACCGCCGCCCGCGCTGGACTCTGCCCCCAGCGCGGCGCCGCCCCGGCCCCGCGGCCATCGCGGCCGCCAGGTGCGGCCTGGCCCCGCCCCGACCCCGCCCCAGCCCGGCCCGGCCGCCCAGGGCGCGGAGCGCTGCGGGCCGGGAGAGCCTGGGCACCGCCGCCCCTGCCCCTCCGGGCAGCCCGGGGCCAGCGGCGCTGCCCCGCCTGCCCTCACAGGGGTCCTTTATCCACCCCGCTCCTGCCGCCGCCATAGAGGGGTCCTTTGCCCACCTTCGACTCGCTCGTTCAGGAATTTCTGCTAAGAGCAAAGTACTGAGTACCGACTAGTATAGATTTATATCCAGCATATAAAAGAAAACCAGAAGTATACAAGGACTTCAGGCTACTCTTTCTCATTAATCACAGACTATAAATCTCTAAGGGTTCATAAAGCAACAGTAACATAACTTAAGAGACTTCCTATTGTACTGGGCAACAGCTCTGAAATACTGAGATTTAACACAGAAAAAACACTTTCCAAGTATTTTTAACACTTAATGAATTCAAAATGTTTCCTCTACTGTGAAATAGAGCTACATATTGTAGTCAGAAGTTCACATTACAGGAGATATCTGTGCCCCAAAGTAACCACGCTCACCTCAGTGGAACTGCTCCATTTTCAGTAGTGCACTGAATCCACCCAAGATGTGATGAATGCAAAATTCATGAGCAACATTCAGCACTTCTAAAGGAAACTGCTCGAAAGGCACAGGGAGAAGCAGCACTGCCTTACCACATCTTCTGACTTGCACAATAAAAAAGACAAACAGGATTCTGGCACATGGAGTCAGACCAGGCAGGCAGAGACAATGAATTACTGTGAGGCAGCCCTGAGTCAAAACTTCTTAGCAGATCTAATCAGAGCACCTCTGATTACAATTACATACAGGTTTTAAACTGCTTATGCTGTGAGGTAAAAAAGGTTTGAAGCCAATTTGACTTCAGCTTTTCCAAGATAGCATGTAGTAGATTTAAATGAATACTCAAAAATGGCTTTTATCCAGTTCTAGTTGGAGACAATTGGATTCAATATTGTTACTAATTTTGTAGGAATTTCCATCAATAAAAAATCTAACAAAACTGCACAATAAACTTGCCTCCACACTTAAATAGTTGATTGTCCAGTTCAGTTTGAAATCACAGAACTTAAATTGGAGGTTTCTCTGAAGTTGCAGAACTGTGTGTACTTTTCCCCCATTACTGGAATGAAATTCAGACATCATGGTGGCATTCACAGGATCACATTGCAGTGAGACGAAATGAGATATTAACTAACAGTACCAAACTATTCATGTTCATCTTGATATTCAGGGGGTTTTGCTGCTTTTCAATTTAAAAAAAGCAACTTCTTTTAAAAGAAGTCATCTTTTCCCATTTACTAAAATGTACTATAAAGGAATTGGTGATAAGTATTTATGTCTTGTCTTGACTCATTCCTTTTCTTGTGAAAAGGTAATTGATTCTTACAACCCAGTTAATACTGCTTATTAATAATTTTGTTAATGAGATTTACTAAATGAACACAGTCAAGTTTCCATATATACAGAGGTTGTGCAGATTTATTTAAAAAATAATTCATGGACATTAACTGTCCTAATTTAGGTATCTGTCGCATAACTTTCCTCAGTGGAAGTGTATTTCATATGGAGGTGGATGGAGAAAAAGAGCTGAAGTTGGTACAAAAACTATGCTGATCCTACCTACAGCTTGGAGCTATGGCATCAGCTTGTAACTATGGAAAGAAAAAATGATGAGGGCAATGGAGCTGATCAAATAAACTGAAGACACAAACAATATGGAGCATGTATATGCCATCATTTGTTACATGATGTAACAAGTGAAATGATACCTTTTTTGTGACATTTAAATCAGAGGAAGATGACACTGCACACATGCCTATTTTCAAAACCCAAACCTATAGAAAAGCATATACATGAAATTGCCATAGCAGTCCCCTGCTTTGGAAGGAAGGGTAAAGAAGAGTTCAACAGTCAGTTTCATCTCTGTTACTGAAAAGTTTATTACCATGGACTTCTTTTTCCTCATCTCCAAGTACTATTTATTAATATTGCTCAGATCATGGATTAGCAGTTTCAATGATTTACATTTGATCACCATAACACAATGCTGATTGAGTGGATTGTAGACCTGTAAATTAGTCTGCTGAAGGAGAACCTCAATGAAAAGAAGGCTGTAATGGACAGAAAACACTTTCTCCAACTACAACAAATCCTATTTTCAGACTCCCTTGAATGTGCACCTTCTAAGGAAGCATCTGCCAACACTAATTAATGCACACTAGATCAACCAATCCAAATAAGCCTCCAGCAACTCAGGATACTAAGGACCTAAAAATTACTTCAAATTAACTTTTTGAAGAGAGTTAACAACTGAAATAAAATTGCTATTAGCCTTGGTTTTAGAAAGAAAAATAAACCGTGTACTTGAAAAAAAGAAAAATTGATTTAATCCTTTCATCCCAAGTATATTGCACACTACAGGTTTCTCACACATGATACTTGGGATGCAAAAATCGTGGCATGCAACAACCATAGTTCGTGGAGAATGTATGTGGAACAGTCACCTTGCTGGCTATGAAATGCCACTATCAGTGAGTGTTTCACTACACATGGGGTACCTACCCTTACTCAGGGAAATGCTATATGGTGTTTCAGGGTTTTTGAATGCAGGGCAGCAGGGTGTGAACGTGGCAGTTTGTCCTTGATAAAGCAATCAGGCATGACTAAACAAGATTGTTGTTTGTACAGCTCCTCCCTTGGGTAAGCCAGAATTTCCAGGGCAACAAGCACAAGGCATTTCCCCTTCCACACCCAAGGGGATCAACAACAGATCTCTATTTTCACTGTTCAAATAATAGAGCAATTAACTGGAGCAGCCTGAAGGAAACAAATCATGCCATCCAAGAGCCAATTGCTGAGCAATCTGACAAATGAAGGGTTGAGGTTCTGCACCTCATGAGGAGATTAGTGCTGCTATTTGCAGTAAGTGGCTGTACGACAAACTCCCTGGTTCTGTAAGCAATACAGTAAGAACTACTCATGTCAGCTGCAAGAGAGGACTAGCACTTACTGACTGGAAAACTGTCTCTTAATTATATTTACTGTATCATGTTCATGGCACATATTTTTTAGGTCTAGCACATGAGTTCAATTGCACAGAATTTCACCCTAAGTTATAGCAAATTTCACTGTTTAAGGAAAACCTATTTGATCCCAAAAAAGTCTGCTTCTGGTGAGTCAGACTAGCATATAAGATGCACATACTAGAAAAGAACAGAGTGCATTTCTTCAAATAAGCTTCAGGAAGCTTCCAGCACAGCTACTGCAAAAATGGCTGAGTGAAAGAATGGAATGCTAACCCCCTCAGGACAGCAGAAAGCTGAGGAGCAAACTGAGTACCACTGCATGGCAGGAAGGACAAAGGGTTGTAATGTAGCCTGACCTACTCTTCCATCAGCTTGAGGTTATCCTAAGGCTTGGATGTTGGTGAGATTATAAAAGGATCTTTAGAAGCAGAGGTTTTCAGACTTGCTGGATGAATTCCAAAGTAATGACTTCTACTTTCTATGGCACCTAAGCAACCTTCAAGAGATCAAGAACCCATCCCACAGTTTCATGAATGACCATTTTATTTTCATGTATTTCAGTAGTTACAAATATAGTAGTTGACTATTTGCTTCCTTCTCCCAAGTAGCTTTATTAAATAATCAAGTGGGTTTTAAAACATAGCTTTTAAGCACATTTTTGATTAGAAAAATATTTTTTGTGAATCCTGGGTTAGACAGATATTAATGCTTCCTCTCATACTTTGAAGTACTTTTACATGCTGGTTTCTGAAACATATACTTTTTTATCTCTCCATAAGAAAAGAAATACAAGCATTTATTTCATACCAGTTCTATAAGTTTTGTATTTTGAGCTTGAAAACAGTTGGAAAAGTTTAGTTTGCTATACATATATATATATATATATATACACCTCTAAATACACAAGATACTGCAATTCCTCAATTTAACACTACTCCTCTTACCTGAAGATGGTTACAAAAAAAAATAGTCTTAGCTGCTGTAACTTTTTTTTACAAGTTGGATATGGTTACAAGATCGTGGATTACAAAATGCTTGATTCCATTAGCTTTTAAACGGACAAATAGGTATTTTAGGTTGATATGCTTTAAAGTCGTGTAGCTTGTAGCATTTGCCATCATAACAAAATATAAGAGAAAGTTAAAAACCAACTTTACACTTTTTACTTAAAAATCACGTAAGAAATGCAATACGGAACATACTGAAATGGAAATTTTTCAACAAACAATATATAGTATTAACAATATGCAGAAGCACTAAGCAGCAATTTTTTTTCTTTGTAATACTGCTCCAGCAATTGTTTACTTCCTGTAGATTTAGGACTACAACTAACTGGTACTGCATGAAAAGATCTGCAGTTGAAAAATTGACTTGAACAATAACCCACAGAAATTCTACTCCTTTAAAAATGGGATTATTCTTACACTCATGTAAAAAATACTGTAAATTAAATCCCAACTTCCATATGATTTACTTTCTGCAGTCACATATACAACACTGCTATTTTGTAGGCTACCTAACAGAGCAGGTGACCTCTAAATTTCCACAGGCAAAAGGCTGACGGCAAATCTTGAAATACTTTCTTATGAAAAACAACAACAAAAAAAAAATCCCAAACCCCAAACCCTTTGAAAGTGTTGTTAAAGCACTGTATTATGGTTTTAAACTCAAGTAATAAAGCATGCCCACAAGGCATTTCTTCCACCAATCCATGCTGCAACCAAGGGAACCAGCCCTATTACTGTATTATAAAACTAGACTATTACAGAGGGCTCTCCATCTCTCTATGCACCTTTGAACTCTAAAGACAACTGACTCATATT